CTCCGCACCCTGCACCGCTCGCTTTCTCCGCAGTGACTTTCCCATTTCTTTGAAGGAAGGGAAAAGTAGAAGGAGAAACGGCTACACAAAGAGCCCTCGGGAGAATTCCTCCAGCCGAGGCACAGGGGCTTGGCAGGAGCTCGGGATGCCCAAAAACTATCGGGTAGGGGGCTGGACTCAGAAAAAGGATCATTAAAGCCCGGGGGGAGAGGGGCACTTTCAGCCAGGTCCTCCCGAGCACAGCCCAGCTCTCCCCGCAGCTCCCCACCTCGCACCTCCCAGTGAAACCAGCTGCCACCAGTTTGCCTTAGGCTGTGGGGAGGGGGTGGCTGCCCTGGAGATAGGATGGATGAGGACAACACAAATGCAATGCCTAATTTTACCACCCACCCCCCCTTAATTGATTTTCTAAAGAAACCTCTTCTTTTCCCCCCACCCGCAAAGCACAAGACTTTCCTGTCTATTGCTCGCGGTGGAACTGCAGCCACTGCTAATTTTGCAGATCTGCACAAAATGCAAATGCTTTGTCAGAAGCAATATTCCTCCTCCCTGAGGGCTCATCGAGAAAGGAAATGTTCTCAGCCCAAAGCACGATTAAATCCCAAACCCTGGGGAAACGAGGAGACTAAAAGGTCTCCACTGAAATCCTCATATTTGAACCAACCTATGTAGGTAATTAAACAAAATTATCAGATTTTTGATTAAACCTCAGTGTCAAGGTTAAAATTAAAAAAAAAAATTGCCTGTCTCTCTGCAAAATGCTGTCTCAGTGGCCCAGTTGTGACTGCAGAGTTGAAACGGCAGGAAAAGCAGCGGGTTAGCCCTCCCCGTGAGCACCGTTGCGGTTTGTACCCACGGGCTGGTTTCTCACGGCGCTCTGCCTGCGGTGAGAGTGGGGAGGAGCATTTGACTGCACCTTTGGGATAAGGAAGTTCTCACCTAAGTGAGAAAAGCTGATATGCACCAGGTGACCTCCTGGCCAAGTTGGTGCTGCTGTTAAAAGCTCCTCTTCTGATCAGCTGCTTTCTCCCATAGCTGCACACCCCTAGTCCTGGTTTGTTGGAGCCCTTTTGTGGTTATATTGCCCGGTTCAGGTTTTGTTTTGTTCCGATGTAAGAAATAACGTGACGCAGGGCAGGATCTCTTCCCCCCAGCCCAGGTTCTCTTTGGCCAATATGTGGGGACACTGTTGGCAAAGCCACAGACCTGGTGCAATAGGGGCAGGGTCTGAGATGGGGACAGCCAAGCGAGCATGACAGCTCACAGAGCATGATAGCTACTGTGTGAGCAAAAAGTGGTCAGAAAAAAGCCCAAAGATGCGGAGACACAGCTCCCATCCTCTGCTAAACCTCCTCAGATTCAGGGCTTTCCCTAGCCATCCCTACGTGTTCCCTAAGGATGGTTTCCTTGTGAAGAAGGAGGGAAAAATCCTCAAATAGCTTCCAGAGTTTGAGAGCAAAACCACCCCCTGCGCTGGGGCTGGGACCAGGAGGGCGTCACAAAACCCAGCCCAAACAAAGAGAATTCTCACCCAGCCAGCTCCAAAAGGCAACATACACTCTACAAAACACCATTTTGCAGTCCAACTATCTTTTTTCTTACAAATGTATGCATTCAACATTCAGACCCATTTTGAGCACGATCCCAATCCTCTGCTGGGAACAGCATGGGCTACACACCACGAAACTCCAGCCTTTAGCGAGCATGTCCCTGTAGCCAGACGTACCCACAGCAGCATCCAGCCTGTGAGTGCAGAGACCTGCAACAGCCGGCTCCAACAGAGAGCTCAGCAGGGGCACATCTCCCCTGCTTGGGCAAGTTTTGCAGCCTGCAGGTCCCTTGGCTGGCACAGCTAAGGTGTTCCCAAGCGTCTGGCCAGCAGCTCCAGTGTAGCATCTTCTTGTACGCCTTGCCTTGCCGCAAGCCTCGGGTGGCCGGACAGACAGACTAGGAGACCGACAGCCAAACTTGCTGCAAAATGTGCTCTGGCACCCTGCAGGTCATTTCCACAAACTAAACAAGTGGTTAAAAAGAAACAGTTCCCCTTCACCTTTGTCAGGATGTTTCTGGGGCTGATAAAACTGTTTACAAAAGCTTTTTGTGAAAAAACACAGAGTTTGATGCTGGGGGTGGGGTAGTTTCCCCTTTCCCGTGATCAGCTTCAGCAGCAATAAGCCCAAAAAGCAGCCCCCTATCCCTTCACTGCTCAAATCCTTGCGTAAGAGTTGGAGCTGCAGTAGGAAGACTTCCTGACCCTGGGGATCTTTTCCAGTCCATGCTTTCCTTAAAAGCCAGACTTGATTCAGGGTGTATGAAATCATCCCCGTGGTTTCGCATCTCTAGTGAAGAAGTGAATGGAAATGGCACAGCCTGTTCCCAGAATAGCTGCTCTATCGCCGTAGGATGACTATGTAGAAGTACGATGAGAATAGCCTGCACAGCCGGCTCAGCCCTGCCCTGAAAGACAGCTCTGCTCACCAGAAATCCAGCACAGGGCTGGCCCAGAAGTTTGTTGTGAACGGAAAGTTCAAGCTGAGGTCCGAGTCTGCAGCATTTAGAGAGGCTGCATCTGTGGTTTTATCTTGGAGAACAGCATTTGGACCCAAAGGAAAGCATAACTCCTTAGCGTGGGGTTCTCTCAACAAACAGAGCCCAGGAGCTGTTGTCCAACTCTTGAGAGCTGTCACTCATGAGAGGGTGGCTCTTTCTGGAGATGCTATAACATACCCAGAGGCCCACCTGTTGTTTTTCCTTTTTTCCCTAACTGTATTTTGAGCTAATAGAAGAGACCCTCCTTCTCTGCAGTGTCCTGCTGTATCAATGAGTCACCCACCCAGAAGCCATCGCCTCTGTTCAGATGACAGAGGGCAAAGCGTGTTGGCCTTGTGCAGGTCATAGTCCCTCTACCACCCTAAAATTCAGTACTGTTCACCCTGGTAAGGCAGTGGCAGATGCGGCTTTGGTGTGGCCAAGCTTCCCCTAGCTGTGCATGCTGATAAACCGGAGGAAAATTATAGGTGAATTGAATGCTGGATGTTCAGTCCGGGTATGAGCCTAAAAAGGTGATGGGTGAAGGAGGGGGCTTGGGGCAGCCAAGATGTGAGTTTTGGGAGGCAGCTGAGGCAAACAAATCTCCGAGCCCCAAGTGAAAATATCTGTGAATGCACACAGGTTGCACATGTACAGTCTGCAGGAGTGTTTAATACAACCGCCTTAGATAAGCAGCCCTCCCCTGGGCTTGTGTCCATCACTCCAACTCTTCTTCAGCAGCCTTCGCTCTGGCAATCCCAGATCCCATAGGAGCTGCTTTGATTCACAGTGTCCCCTTCCCCTTTATGTGCATTTAGCTTCCAAAATCCGAATGCCATTATTTTTTCACCTGTCCCCAAAAATCCATGCCCCTTTTGATAGATGAATGAAGTCAGAATTGTTTATGGCAATTGAAAGAGACCAGAGCTTAATCCAGGAAAGCCTTTAATTGCTCATAAATGAGGTTTTACAGGGCATTCATTTAGCCCTGATTGATATTCTTTTGTTAAGATCTGCATCCAGCATGCTCAGAGACATGCTCCAGACAGAGTAAGTACTCACAACAAAGCTGCTGTCTACACACAAGGCAGGCTGGCCCTCTAATATGGCTAAATTCATAAATTCACAGATTTTAATGCCAGATGGAGGCGTTCTCACTGCCTGCTCTCCCCCTGAGGAACATCAGCCATGGAAAATCCCCCTCTGGTTCTTGCTTTGAGCCTCGTTCTGCTGCCTGCACTTTGCCTTGATGCCTTGACACTAGCAGGGCTTCTGATGTGTCTTTGCACGAAAGCAAGTGAAGGAGCAATTGGGAGAAACCCTGAGCTCAGCGGGTGGCAAAGCTGGTCACTGTCAGGGTTAAGGCAGGGGGTGTAAAGGGGGTTCTTCATGGACCAGATGCTCCCTGGGGGTTTAATTTGTGGCTTGGAGTGGGGACGGGATTTATCCAAGGGAAAGCCCTCAAGGTGGAGGGGGTAAGAAGCTCACTGGCTGCAGAAGTTGGTGCCCAGAAGTCGGAGGACAAAGGGACCCCCTACGCAGTGGAGTGAAAGCAGGGGATGGGGAGGGCTGGGCAGCAGCGGCTGGAGGCACCCTGACCACCTCCAAGCATGTTTGAGGGGCAGTACTTTTGGTCAGGGTTTTCAGGGTCACCTCCAGCCTATGGCTGCAGTGTTGGCAAGACATGCTGCTCCGTGTCCTCCCTGTGCTGCTGATGTTGCTCTGCCATCCGAGGTTGGCATCCAGCTGTTTTAACATTCGTTGTATTTAACACCCGAAGTCTGGCACCTTTTTCTGCAGGCTCAGGGCCAAGAGCAGCCTTGATCCCAGCCTAACACCCCAGGGAACCTCAGCAAAGTCCTGGGCAGAGTCTGTGCCTGGCCCTTCCCTGTCCATGTGTCCCAGGAGGTCTTTCTTCTTCCACACCAAGTGTTGCAGAGAGCAGCAAGCCCAACCAAGCCAGGGACCAGAACTGATGGGTGAGAAAGGTCCCTACAGCAAGGATGACTTCAGGGTGGCTGCTGTTGCCCCCCCTCCCAGTGAGGTCTCAGTGGTCATCACCATCCATCATTGCCGCTGACCTCTCCAGCTTTGTGCAAAGCCAGTGGTTCACACTGCTTCATCCTGCTAATCGCTCCGCTCTCCAATTACAGCCCTGTTGGCAGTGGAAAACCCAAGGCCCATCGTAGTTTGCTAATTAGGCTATGAGCCATCTATCTCGCTGCTCAGAGCTGTCAGCCCTTCCTGCCACGCAGATCTGATCTTGTTTGAGGCAATAAGATATCAAGCGGGGACAAGCCTGTCTCTGGGTAGCACAGTGCGGAGGGTTGATGTTTGACTCGGATGTGAATATATTAATTAATATCTGTGGATTGCTTTGGAGAGGGAAAGCACTGCAGGGGGACATTAATTCCTAATTGTTATTAATTGAATTTTGCCGCTAGGTCAGCGGCAGGTTACAGAGACCGACGCTCTGTGTGTGTGATTTTGCTGCTCACACCCACACTAGCAGCGAGACCCCCATCCTCCTCATGCCAAAGAGTTGACACTGTCTCAGCCCTCTGTGCTGCATCTCCTGGCCCAGGGGACCTGCCACCCTGTGCCCCTCATGGGCACAAGGAATGGCTCCGAAAAACTCAGTGGTGTTGCATCAGGACATGGCTAGTAGGTCCAGAACGGAGCAGCCTGTCCTACATGATGCAGCACAGCCTGAGCGACCTTAGGCAAGTGGTACTCTGTGCCTCAGTTTCCCTTCTGGGTCAGCTTTGGCATGGTGGGTGGTGGGATACTGACTGCAGCTGGTGTTTGCCCTGTGTGGGAGGCAGTAAACACTGCACCGGCATCAGGTTTTGATGTCTGAGCCATGCAGCGAGGAGGATGGGGGCCACCTGATCCTGCTGCAGGAAAGGAGGGAGCAAAAGGAAGGAGCTTGCTGCTCCGTGAGGTCTGAGGTTAACCCAGCACCATCAGCGTCTGCAGTGACGCCTCCCCGTGTGTAAAACAGAGACCTTAGCAGAGCCTGGAGGGGAGCTGGTGGATGCTGAGACAATGGCAGTGGAGCCATCGGTGGCTTCTGACAGAGGAGAAGCTGCTGCTGGAGTGGGGCCTCATGGGGCTCATGCAGCTCCCAGCAGAACCGTGGACCCCATGGGAGCAACTCCCTGGGTTGACTGGGACCTCTGTGCAAAGCTGCTGCTTCCAGAAAAGCAGACTGCGTTTCTTTCCCACTCAGCTGAAGCTCTCCAGGATTTTGGCTGTGTGAGAGAGGTCACGGAGGTGTTCTTCACTGCAAAGCATGATTTGCTGTAGCTTGTGTCAGAGCAGGGCTGGGAGGGCAGACGGACACGGCCCTTCTCTGGCCCACGCATGACCCACCGCTGTTTCGGGGCTGCTGAGGTGTGCTTGGCTCCAGGCTGGCCAGGCTGGGACCTGCTGGGTGCCATGTGGCATCTTATGGCAGTGATGCTGTGGCACGCGAAGCTCTTCAAGGACAGAGCTGTGACCTACTTGGTCTGCAAAGCCTGGGGAGGGGTTAAAGTAACCCACAAAGGGCAAAACAGATGAGAGCCCGACCGTCAGGATACCCCATCAGGATCCTCATGGCTTGTGCAAATCCACTTGCAGCTGCCACCTTCCCGAGCTTATCCCCCTGGAGCTGGGGCTGACGGGGGTGGGGAAAAAACCTCTGCCTCTGTCAAGAGCATCGGCCACATGGCAGTGAGACGAGACTCAGAGCCTGGTAAAAAAGCTGTTAAGGTTTGTTGTGTTTTGGGGGACCTTTTTTTTTTTTTCCTTTCTTTCTTTCTTCCTTCTGTCGCTGTTTGAGCTCATTTACAAAGCCTGCAAAGAGCCAGAGAGTGCACTCCATCCATACTCCCCTCTAGCTGTAGCTTGGTCCATGTTACTGCTCAGTGCCAAGACCTCTCCCTGTGTCTGGAAGGAGAACGGGTACTGCCATGCTGGAGCAGGCTGCAATCAGGAGAAATGTATCCAATTAACACTTGAGAGCCTGTTCAGGTAGGGAAGCCATCCTGGCCCCTTTTGGGAGGAACCCTTTTATCCCAGCTATCCCTGCAGAAAGCCACCAGGTCTGGTGGGCACCAGCTGTGGGCATCAACACAGAGGGGACCTGACCCCACTACATCTCGCTTACCCCATCTCTGGAGTTTGGGTGGTCTCAGCTTTTGGCAAAGAGACCCAGGAGGTGCTTGGATCCTGCAGGACCAGCCCAACAGGAGCTCCCTGCAGCACCCCTGCTCTGGGCAGGGTTTTCCTGCTGGATCCCTTGTGCCATCTGGAGCAGTCATAACATGGAAGCTATTCTCAGCTCCATTTATACGTCTGCCTGACATCTCTCTTGCTGTCAAAACCAGCTTCCCAAGACAGTAAATAGTTGTTTGGAAAAGAGCAAGTGGGTGCTGAGCTTGTCTCTGTGTCTGAATAAATCCTGCTAATGCTTTGGTAAGGTGCAGGGGATTGCTGGGTGTTCCAGCAAGAGCAGCCAGTGTTTATATGGCTGAAGGGCAAGAGGAGGACCATCTTCTCCCTACCCAGAGCAGTTTTGAAGGTAAATGGCACTGGGGAAGGGCGATCAGGCACTAGGGACCAGCCTGGCTGGTGGGGAAGGCAGAGGTGGGTTTTCAGCACAGGACTGTGTCCTAGCCCACTGCCCTGGGGAGCTGGAAGCTTGCTTACAAGCAGAGGAGGCTGCAGCCTTTCCTGCCTCCAGGCTCAGGTTTGAGTTTCCCAAGGGATCTGTATGTGCTTGTATTTCGGCGCACGGCTCTGCTGTTCAATCAGTGGGAGTGAGCTTTCCTCCAAGAAATTTGCTCAGTCCTTGCAGCGCAAGCTTGGCGTGAGAGAAGTGGAGTTCGGCTTCATCCACCACTGGCATTCGTCTCCTGAGTAGAGGGGATCAGCCTGTGTCACTGTGTCATCCGCCTCTGAGCCGGAGGAGAAGGTGGGCAGCTGCTGTGGTTGAAATCTGTTTTGCAAAACAGCAGGTCCCCTCCTTCCCCCATCTGCCTCCCTGGTGAGCCCTGGGTCTAACAGCACCATCCCTCTGCCACCTTCCACTTGCAATTGCCTTCCTTGGTTTGAGTTTCCCCAAACTCCTGCCAAGGTACAATAATTCAGTAGCAGCTTTTCCAAAATCGCTCCCTGTGCAGAGTCTCTTGCAGCAGAGCTGCCGAGCCACCTGGGAGCTGCTCTGGAGAAAGGATGGGATAGATCCTGGTCAATGCTTCCCAATGCAATGGGAATGTCAGTGTTTGTTGAAAAGCCTTTCTCCTGAAAATTGCTTTAGCCAGACCTGGTTGACTGTGGATCAGATCTCCTTACGGACGTGTATTAACATCTTCCCACTGACAGCTTACAAGGCTGTGATTTTAATAAGGTATTGAAAATCTGCGCGTGGTGTCAGGCTCATCATGTTTCCCCTGTCTGCTCTCAGGATGCAAAGATGCTAAAGCTAAAAGTGTTGATTAAATTGCTAAATAGCAGAGGCTCTGCACTCTGGCAGGGGCTGTGCAGGGCTGTAGTATGGTTTGCTGAAGGGGCTGTTTGGGACAGGAGAGGATCAGTGGAGACCATCAGTCCCACAGCCCCAGGCTGGGTAAGGCCAGCTCCTCTGGGCTGGGAAACTCATCCAGCCAATGGGTACGTGTAGCTTTGAGGGTGGCATCCACCATGATATGGACAAACTCAGATATGACCCACCCGCTGCCGTGTCCGGGGAGGGACTGGGTGCTGGGGAAGCGGCATATTGCACATATAACTCTGCTTGTGGTCTGCTCTCTCCCTGTGCAGGCGTTTCTCCTCTGGGATAGCCCAGTTGCAGCCTCCATCCAAGAGCAGTACTGCGAGAGCCTGCCGCCAGTCACCAACCACACAGGTGAGTGTCCTGTGTCCCCAGCCCACCCTAGTCCTCCCCAGGGCACTCCAGCAGCAGGGATGCCTGGAAGAGGGTGTAGGGGGATGTCTCTGGGCTCATCTGCAGCTGCTGGGCTCCTTTATGGGGTGTGGTGGGATGTGCTGAGGCTGCATCACAGCTCTGGGCTGGCTGCTGCAGGAGCCTCTTTGCAGGGTGACAGTAGAGGCAGGTAGAAGATGGGAGCTAAAAATAGAAAAAATAAATGTATATTGCACTGGGCTTGAGGAGGAACGGGCAGAGAGACATCTGCCCAGCCCCTGCTCCTGCACTGCCCATTCTCTGCCATGGCAGGGGACACCAAGACCTTTGTCCTCTATGCCACCCCCCTCTGCCATCCCCTGCCCTGGGGTGACAACTGGAGGTAGTGACTCTCCACGGAGACCGTGTCACCAGTGCAGCATGGCCACAATGTGCTCAGGACTCCGCCATCCTCCATCTCCCAGCACTCCTAGATGTCCCACTGAGCACTTTAAGGGAGGCCACCGGCCACGAGGAGCTTCTGGGGACGTGGCCATGGCCAGGGCTGGCTCAGCAGACCTGGATGGGCAGCTCACCCCTACTCAACACCTGTACAAGGTTTTGCATCCAACTGCTCAGGCCCGAGATGTGTTTGTGCCAAAACTGGCTTTTAGCCTATATTCAAGACGTGACTTGGATGTCACTTCAGCAGTGACAGGTCTGGTTCAGTGACAGGTTTTGGGGGAGGAAAGGTGGCTGAGGGAGAGGAAAGGAGCTCGCAGGGACAAGGAGAAAAGTCCTCCCCAGCTCAGGGATGCTGCAGAGTTCATTTTCCCGTGATTGAAAGAAGACCAGAGCAGGCACCAAGCAATTGCCCATGAGGGTAATTGCTCCATGAGGGTGATGGATGGCCTCGGAGGCCTGGTGCTGATGCATGGCTGCCTGCCACCCAGCTCCCATTAACAGCAGCGTTAAAAAATCCTTCTTAAAAAATTACAACTTGCCACTGGCTGATTTAGTACATGGCTGAATCCAGGCCACCACATCCCTGCAAGGACCATCCCCAGAGCATCCCCAGCCCAAGAAATGGAGACAGAAAGACGAGGGAGAACAAGGCTGCCAGTGGAAATGGGAATGCCTATGTGTCTCTTACCTGGGCATGGAGCAGACAAGAAATGTGGTCATCACTCATGTGCTTTGCTCCCTGAAGGTTTCATCACTGCTCAGCAAGGTGGTTGTCCTTGGCCATGTTAGACTGTGATAAATAGCATTTTGTTTTCTTCTTACTCACATCCCCTGATGGAACCATGTAGGCACTGACCCACAGAAACACCAGCCAAGCACTGCAGGGCCCTTGTGTGATGCACGGACTGGCTGGTGGGACAACCCAGGGCAGCAGGCAGGTCCCAGAGCCTCCTCGTGCCCAGCTCATGGCCTTTGCCACCCACTGCTGGAACCTCCTGAGCCCGGGGGAGAGGGCAGAGAGGGGGAGAATTTCTGCCATGGCTTTGCTGGTGGAGATACTCTGCAGTCACTGCCACCCTCAAGCAGTGGGTGCTGCTTTCTGCCAGGATTGGGCTTTGCTCAGTAGGGATTTACTAGCATGAATCCAAGCAGGATTTAGTGCACCTTAGTGCTCATCATCCTGGGACAGGGGAGTACAACGTGTCTGACTTCAGATTTGCAAAAACTCCAGTGCCTCCACGCGTCCATCCTGTCATCCCTGAGTAGCTCTCTAATTTGGGATGGGGCTGGCACATGTGAGAACCACTTCCAGCTCGAGGAGGGGGCTTAGAATAAGAGGTAGAGATGAAACTAATTGTCTTATGTCTGCTGCTTGGTAAATGGAGCTTAGTGCCAGCCCTCATCCTTGGGGTCCATTTAAGCCCTGGCTGATTCAGGCAGCGATTCCTAGGGAGGGATATTTACAATGCTGGAAACTTTGTTTTGAGGCTATTTAACATGGAGAGTTGTTAGGATGACGCTAATGAGAATTGCAGCGAGGCCGTGAGACTTAATTTGTTAATGTCTGCAAAACCCTTGGGAAATGGCACATGCCAATAACACGAGCCCAGCGGTCCTCCAGCACGCGGCTCAGCAGGGCATCATCAGACGCATGGAGGGGTCCTGCCTCGTGCCCATGTGCAGCATCCCTCCTCCGAAAAATAGCCCAGCATGGGCTCTCCTCCTCTCTCAGGTCAGAAGTCCCTTCATTATTTAATCTCACACTTTTTAATGAGGATGCATGGCTGGACAGTGATATCTCCGGAGTGCCAGAGCTCTCTGAGGCACAGGCACTGAGCTGGAAAGGTCTCTGCTCACAGCAATGTGATGGAGACAAACCCAGAGCGATGCTCACGAGGCTTATGGGGTGCAGGCATTCCTCATCCCAAGAAGCGGAGCAGCTGAGCCCCACAGAGCTTCCTTGTCTGCCCTCTTATCCTCATGGATTTACCCATCTACCTCTAAGCATGCTGTCCCCAACACAGAGTGCTGTCCCTTGGCATTCAGGTTCCCTGCATGATGCTCCAACCTGATATTTTAGGTATGCATCAAAAGTACCTCTCAGTGAATCCCTGATTCTGGCCAGTGCTGAGACACACGGTCATCCACACACAATCGGCCACTCCATCAGAAAGGCTGCTTTCCTCAGTAACAGTGAATATTTTCTTCTCTGGGCAGAAATCATATCAGGCCGGACTTGAGGTCAACATTGTGCTTTAGGAAAGTTGTGTCAGCTGAACCCACAAACACCTGGAAGCCAACAAATTCCCAGATTAGGCTCAAAAAGGAATACAGCAAACAGCAGCATCCTTTGTCCTGGGGGAATAGGTGCCTGTCCCAAGGTCTCCCAGCCTACAGCTT